ATCAATTGTTATCTTATACATTTTTAAACTTACTTGTAATGACGCATTCAAACTTTCACCATAAAGGCCAGGACTTTGTTGCAATGGCGGACTTCTTATCTGTCCTTGTGACTGGCCCTGAACTAATGATGGAGTTTGAGATGAAAGCTGTAAACCACTGAAAACACATATATAAATTATAGCTTATTTATGTTGCAAATTTAATTTTCATAGTATACAAAGAAAAAAAAGTTGTTAAGATATCTTACAGCATTTTAGTAAAACTAATATACTTTGTTATTTACATAGAGAAACATTCTATAAATTTTTAATCACTTTTTTAAATGATATTTTTTATCATTTTAAAATTATAATTAGAGTTAAAATATTTATTTTTTACATTAGAAAGATAATATATATCATATTTGAAGTGTTAAATATTTTTCAAATGTTAAAAAACAAATTGAACAATAATAATGCAATAAAATTTTAATAAATCAGGGAATATTTTGGTTTTTATCACAAATAATCAAGAATTTTTATTCCCATTTATAAATAAGGATATTTATGCTGTTTTTCACTGAGTTTTTTTTCCTTTTAAACAAACACATGTTAAATCCATCCAATTTAACATTAGTTTAAAATGTCATTTCTTAAAAATANTAATTATTTAGTTTTTTTTTTTGCAATTATCTTATTATAGATTTTATTCAGCTAAGTTAAATGTAGATTTATCAGTTCGGAAATGATCTGTATTTCATCAGCAGTTCAACAAAAGGCAAATAGTTTGTTTATTACCTTTTATACATCTTTTTTATCATTAGTGTTAATACATCATAGTGTGTCATTCTACAGTGCTTGAGGTTGTATATATATAAATATATTTTTATAATATTTGAGAAGTATATACACCAATATTGGAAACTGTCTGATCCATTCAAGCTTGATTAAATTGTGTGAATTGTATGGAATTAAAATCAATGGATTTGAAAACTATTTGCAGCTAAATTACAGATATTAAACAATTTAAATGATTTGCAGTAACATCTGTATGTAATGCTGCAGTGCATTATAATGCACATGGTCACATATTTTTCAAATCCAATTATTTTAAAATATCACCTTTAAAAAAAATTGAAAATGTTTCAATTGGTTCATTTGCTTGATAACAGCTTATTGTCAGCACAACTTCATAAATTTTGTCACCGGAATGTGTCAGTGAATTCATAATGGAAAATTCTCTTATAAAATGTATACCTCTTACAACATCTTATAATTCATACATCTGATGACAATAAAGATGAGATATTTTTAAAACTACAAATTCTGTTTTATATATTTTATTATTTTTTAACATGATTTAAACAACTAAAACTAGATATTTGCTCATATTACTACTTTTTTCCATTATATATTAATTAAATGATTTTATTATTATAGTAAGCAATTTCTCCATTAAAAGAAAAAAAATGCTAAATAGATATTTAAAATAGAGAGAATTATATTAATGTATTTTATGTCTTAATTTATAATTTTTTAAATATTTTTGAAGAAAAAGCTGTCTATTCAACAACAAAACTAATAAAATTGCCAGCTATACATTTGAAATAAAACTATAGATAACCTCAGTAAAAAAAAATTCTGAAATAATAAAAATCATAAGACATAATTGCTTATTCTTGTAAATAAATTAAGCTATTAGATCTTAAAAATAAATTATTTGTGTAGAATTTTTATAGTAAACCATCACTGAGAGATTTAATAAAGCAAATACTTTTCAGATAAATTTGGAAGTTGAGATAATGATACAATTTAACATATATGCTTCATATTTGAAAATAATTAAGTTATTGGATATTTTATTTCTTTATTAGAATATAATATTTGTAATGACATGTGATGAGTTTTAAATTTTAATTATTATACTTTTATTCTAAACAGTTAAAAATTTAATACTTTGTTCTTCCCTTTGAAGTAATTGATAACTGTTAAGATCTTACAGGAATCACAAACAAGAATCACATAAAATACATTGAATAATAAATAACAAATATTAATAATCATGCAAAAATGCAGCAAGCCATAGAGCCAAGCACAGCCAGACACAAGGTGATAGATAAAAGAAAGGCAGGCTTACTGTGTGGATAGGATGAGGTCAGACTCGGGGGATTTTCGGGGCCGACCACGGCTCAAGTGACGCCGCTTTACAAACTCATGGTCATCCACCATCCAGTAGGAGCCAAAGTCATCCTCATACCTCACAAAGCACTTATGTAGAGACAGATTGGTGCGAATTGCATTCTGTGCAGAGAAAGGATGGGGTGGAGAGGGAGTCATGGGACGGGTGCACACAAATTTGCCATGGGAACAACATAAGCAAAGTAGAATGACCATTCCAAAAGAGTAAAGAATTATATACCAGAAAAGCAGGGTCAAGACATATATAAAAATATATAACAATGCCATAAAACAGCAGAAAACATTCAAGCAACAGCAGAAATTTAAAAAAGTATTAAAAAATGAAATATTAAATATGAAATTTATGAGTGCATCCCAAAGGTAAGTAGGAGTGTAGGTAATGGGAAGGTGGGGAAGAAAAAGAGAGAAAAAGAAATAAGTATCACAAAGTGCACCACTCACAGAAACACAACACAAATAACATACCCTGAAATTCGGTCCTGGAGACGTTGGGGGCGACGTTTGTAGAATTCAAGCTCGTCAACAGTCCAGACTGCCCCCTTTACATTCTCAACACGAGTAAAACATTTGTGTAGACTTAGGTTGTGCCGAACTGCATTCTACCAAGGTAATGGAAAGGAAGTATGTAGATCTTTAAAACTGTCCCTAACAATATACCTGTCTGTTTTTAGGGTCTTTGAGGATGTAGCCAATAAATGAATTTTTTTTAACTCATTAAATTTTTCCTAATATTTGAAATTTGATAAAACTTCCTTTCATAATTTCTAACAAAAGTTGATTAAGGTTTCCCTTACAATGTTTGTTTGTTTACAATAAGATTTAATTTATGACCACTATTATATTAAGAACTTTTTCATTTATTAATATTTTTAGAATTGAGCACTATTCACATTTCTCTAATTTTAATAAAAATTTTAAATATTTTTTATTGAATCATATTTTAATGATATACTTCATAATAAATTATCTAAAACATAAAATTTTCAATTATGGATTATCAAAAAAAAAATTATACTAATGAAATGTATTTATAAAAGTAAACAAATTCATTTTCTTGTAATCTATTCAAACTTATTTCAGTTGGTTTTGTATATAATAACTAGTGTCATAACTAGGCAGGTGCAACAGGTGTGCAGGGCATGGAAGAAAGAGGGCCTCAAAATGGAACTGACAAAAAATTGTCATATATATATTGTTATAATATTTTTGTTTATAAATACAAGTGGATGATTTAGTATATTTTTTGTGTACACAAAAATTGTTTATAAACGATTGTTTTATCAACATCATCATTCCCACCCAAAATTAAAACTTTGTAGAGGAAGGATAAAAAGCTAGTTACGATGATGATGATGATGATAACATTCCATCTAAATAAAATATGAATTATCTAAAAATTTCATTTATTTTCATAATTCTTTGTTTCTGATTATCATAACTTATATAAAGTTTTCATACAGTAATTATCAAGATTTAAAATAATATTGCTTATATATGTTTTCCAAAAACTTGTTTTTAAATTTGTATATGAAAATAAATGGCCATAAATACAAATCTTATTGTATTTAAAAAGGGTTAAATAATTCATGTATGTATTTTTTGAGAAAAATTTATGTTTAATTATTTATGTTTTTTTTTTGCAATTATCTTATTATAGATTTTATTCAGCTAAGTTAAATGTAGATTTATCAGTTCGGAAATGATCTGTATTTCATCAGCAGTTCAACAAAAGGCAAATAGTTTGTTTATTACCTTTTATACATCTTTTTTATCATTAGTGTTAATACATCATAGTGTGTCATTCTACAGTGCTTGAGGTTGTATATATATAAATATATTTTTATAATATTTGAGAAGTATATACACCAATATTGGAAACTGTCTGATCCATTCAAGCTTGATTAAATTGTGTGAATTGTATGGAATTAAAATCAATGGATTTGAAAACTATTTGCAGCTAAATTACAGATATTAAACAATTTAAATGATTTGCAGTAACATCTGTATGTAATGCTGCAGTGCATTATAATGCACATGGTCACATATTTTTCAAATCCAATTATTTTAAAATATCACCTTTAAAAAAAATTGAAAATGTTTCAATTGGTTCATTTGCTTGATAACAGCTTATTGTCAGCACAACTTCATAAATTTTGTCACCGGAATGTGTCAGTGAATTCATAATGGAAAATTCTCTTATAAAATGTATACCTCTTACAACATCTTATAATTCATACATCTGATGACAATAAAGATGAGATATTTTTAAAACTACAAATTCTGTTTTATATATTTTATTATTTTTTAACATGATTTAAACAACTAAAACTAGATATTTGCTCATATTACTACTTTTTTCCATTATATATTAATTAAATGATTTTATTATTATAGTAAGCAATTTCTCCATTAAAAGAAAAAAAATGCTAAATAGATATTTAAAATAGAGAGAATTATATTAATGTATTTTATGTCTTAATTTATAATTTTTTAAATATTTTTGAAGAAAAAGCTGTCTATTCAACAACAAAACTAATAAAATTGCCAGCTATACATTTGAAATAAAACTATAGATAACCTCAGTAAAAAAAAATTCTGAAATAATAAAAATCATAAGACATAATTGCTTATTCTTGTAAATAAATTAAGCTATTAGATCTTAAAAATAAATTATTTGTGTAGAATTTTTATAGTAAACCATCACTGAGAGATTTAATAAAGCAAATACTTTTCAGATAAATTTGGAAGTTGAGATAATGATACAATTTAACATATATGCTTCATATTTGAAAATAATTAAGTTATTGGATATTTTATTTCTTTATTAGAATATAATATTTGTAATGACATGTGATGAGTTTTAAATTTTAATTATTATACTTTTATTCTAAACAGTTAAAAATTTAATACTTTGTTCTTCCCTTTGAAGTAATTGATAACTGTTAAGATCTTACAGGAATCACAAACAAGAACCAAAAAAATGCTGAACAAAGAATCTGATGAAGAAGGCAACAAAATTAATTGAACAATACAATAAAATATCCTACAATGAATTCTTTCATACAAAGGTAATGTGAATGAGGTCAAAAGAAAGTAATACAGGTAATGAGTATGTTTTGTTCCTTTAATAATATTTTGTCTCAAACAAAACCTAAACTAAGAGCAGTCACTTTATATAATCTTGGCAGTTAAGTTGAAATCTTTGATCCAATTCAGATTAAATTTTAACATTAATTGGGTTTAAAACACTTATTATTTTAATGCAGCTTGATTTATCATAAGTTGAAAATAAATGATTCTTTATATTAAATTTAANTACATTAAACATTACATACAAGTTTCTATGATTTGAATTTAAAAAAACTTTAATTTAGAATGAATATTCAAAATAAAATGTTGCCATAGAAAATAAGAAAATGAAAAGTTTATTAATAAATCAATACATTATAAATAAGTTATTCTGATTTTTGTTAAATAATAATAATCTTTTAAAAAAATGATCCATAATCTGTATGGCATCTGTGGATAATTCCTAGAAAATTAAGGTATTTTGACCAGTTATATATTAAGACTGAGTTTTAAAAATGAATTTCATGTATTCTATAGTAAAATTATGACATTTACTTAAAACATTTATTTAAAAACATATTGTCATTGTTTTATGATAACATGTTAAAAACTGCTATGAAATAAGATGAATTTCATCTTTATAAAAAAATAAATTGTTATCAGCAGTTAGATTTGGTACAAAATTGATCTCAAATAAGATATTTATAATATATAATCAATTTTAACCAATACTTTATATAAAATATAAAAATGTAAAATATCTGAACAACAATAGATCAATTTAATTCAAGATTTATTTCATGATTAATATGAGTTTTTTTCTCTTAATTAAATTGAAATAAAATGTTTAACTACAAAAAATTTATTATACTTAAATATCATATAAATATCAATCAAATGATGAAGATTTTGTTTCTTACTGCTTTTTATTTTATTTTTTTATAAAATATATCTCATTAAATTTACCTGATACAGTAAATATGATTCAAAAGTTTTCAATTGTATTATTCAATATTTTATTTTATAGAACTGTAATGATGATAAGTGATTGAATTTACAGTAATCATTTTTCATTTTACAATATATATATATATATATATATGATGCATATCTGAAAAACAAATAAACTTGATGTAAAAAATATTGCATAAGAGATAATGACTACTACTTCATTCTTTTTATTTCGCTACAGTTTATAATTAATTAATCGTCTGAAAAAAGCACATTGATAAATAATTTGCATCATTCTTTTAACATTTGCTTCAATAATGGAAAGAGTGTGTTTTGATTTAATAATTCCATCAAGTTTCTTTTAAAATTCAATGATGAAAATACAATCAATTCTCAAATTCTATTTATAAATTTTATTAAATAATTAAATTAAAAAACTTTAAAATGTTTTAGTTATTATAATTTTCTCTAAATTGCATATTTTCATTGTATTTATGTTGCATTCATTTCTTGAATTGCTGTTTTTATTAATGATTTTTCAAAGCACAAATTTACAAAAAGTTTTATAATTCTAAATCATAAAAATATTTTATATATTTTTTTTAAAATAAATTTATGTATTTTAAATTTAAAAATTGAAATTTCTTTATAAAAATAACATATTTTGCAAAAAAATACTGATAAAACATTAATGTAAGAACAGATAATATATCTTAAATTCATATAAATTATAAATTACATCTAAAAGACATTGTTAAATCAATAAAATAAAATAAAAAAATCCCAAAAATTATTTAAAACTCTTACATTAAAATTTATCAGTTTTTTAAATTGTAATATAAAATGTTTTTAAGAATTAATAAATTCTAATGCTACAATTTTAACTGAGATGGGTCAATAATACTTTCAAAAATGTTGTTATTGTCTTTCATCCAAACAAGGATAAATTTTATTAATAAAATTTTTCTATTTTTTAAATACAATTAAAATTCACGAAATTTAAAAGCCAGTTTATGTGCTTCATCTTCTGTACTTTATTTTACAATGTGATAGTCCAAAGATAAAGCCCAGAAGCTTCAAATGTATATTGGTAATTATTAGCTGACTCCTTTAAGTGAATTAGATACATTTTTTTTAAATATAAATTTAAAATGTGGAATCAATATGTTTGTCAGCCTTTAAAATAAAGTTCAGTGTGTTTTTAAAACAAACTGAATTCAATCAATTAAGATGCATTTATATTAAGTGTAAAATACATTCATGTGTTCATATGTTTATTCTGTCACCTCTATATGAAATAAACACTATACAGTTATTTAATTAATTTATTAATTGCTATCAACTAATCCTCTAATTTATTATTATTAATAGTAATATTCATTTAATATAAATTTGAAATTTCATATCATTAAAAATATATATAGATTAATGCTTTCAAGTTCAAACTTCTGAATTTCTAATAAAAAGTAAAGATATTTAGGAAGCAGCATTTGGTATAATTGCTTTTCACAAACATCAAAAAAAGAAAAACTAGAAAATAATGTTAAAATGAAAACTTTTACAATATTTTGAGTTCATTTTATCAAACAAATTATTCATTTGTTTGACAAAAGGCTGTTTTTAAAAGAATTCAACAAATGTTTCATTCATTTAAAAGTCTTCAAATTCTGGAAACAAGAACACTGAAATGTTTGGACATTTAAAATTGGCCATTTCACTGAATAAACTTTGTTAACTTATAAAAACTATTTTTGTTAATTTTTAAACAGCTATTAATAAAATATAAGTTACCTTGAAGAATAAATGATGATTTTACTTTCAAACTATAAATAATCCTAAATTAAAATGTATACAAATGCTAGTCAGATAATTGTAACTATTTATCTTAACTAAATTTTGCATCATCATCATCATCAGTACCAATTTATTTAATTGGCAATTATTGAAGTATATTTTTAATATTTAAATAACAATATAAATTGACTAAAGCAATATATATATATATATATTTTTTTTTTTTCAATCTACAGCTATAATTTGTTCAGCTTTAATCATTTTTATTATTATTAGATATTAAATAACCAAAACAGAAAAAAATTGTTAATATATTCAGTTAAAATAGAACTAAATACTATTAACTTTGAACCTAGTTTATTAGAATTAAGCTTATAGTTATAAAAAATCTGTTTAATATTAATATATAATAATTAGGATATCCATATTTAAAATTTAACTTTAAGAAATTATTACAAATAACATAAACATGTAAATTATATTTAGTTGTATAGTATTATAGTATATCAAATATTATTTTTAGTTAATATAAAAACACTGTTAGATGTATGTTATGTACAGTACAATACATTTTATTGTCCACTTATTAAAATAATTTGTGTTTTTAAATGAATATATTGTTTAGAAAAGTAAACATATGTTTATATATTTTAATGTTTTAATAAATATATTGTTTAGAAATGTATGTGAAACAATATATTCACTAAAAATAGTTTCCTACTTTATAAATCTGTCATACTCATTCAAAAAAATATTGTATAAAGGAGCTATTTTCAAAAAATTTTGAGAAAACTAAAATATAATTTGATGCCTTTTTTACAAATTAAAAAATGATAATAAACAACTTTTTCTATTGATATTGCAAATGCAAAATAGTATAGCATGATTTCTTTATTTTATGATAAAGTTAAGATTTCATAGAAAATCCTGTCAAAAAGTGCAAAATTCTAAAGATTGATCTTTCAGATTTGTAATACATGAACTAAAATGAACTCTTTATTACTTTAACAGATTTCAATTAAAAGTTACAAAGATGCGAATTATTATTATTAACATTAGGTAAGTCATTATATCAATTTACCCTCAGATCAAATAAATTAACTAAAGGAATCTAATTTGACATAACAGAATAATTTTGTATTGAAATAATTAATAAATAATTCATAGGGGTCCTAATCCTTGAAAGAAAACTTTTGGTAACTTAGAGGATATTTAGTATATTATAACCACTGGCATTGACAAAAGTACTATTTTAAAAGTATCTAAAGATTGTTGTTGCTTTACTTTAACTGATAAATTAATGCTGATGAACTTTAGCAAGAATTTTCTATTCCAAAACAATTAATTCAAACTTGCATGACAAGTGCCAACAAACCAAACTGCACTTTCAAATGACAAATGAAATATAATATTTGAAGTTATGCCAAACACAAAAATGAAAATATTTAAAATTAATTTGTTATCTATTTTCAATTTCTGTATCAAATTTCTGAGAAGGAAAATCTTCGGTTCAGCATATCCAAAATAATTCTTTAAAATAGATTATAAATTTGTGAATATATATTTATTACTATCTGTTACTATTTATAATTAACAAATTATAAATAGTAACAAAAAAAAACTATTTACACTTATTTACTACCCATTTCTGGGTCCTTTCTCACTGTTTAGTCTTTGCCCAGGGGAAAAAAACCAACAAATTGCTCTGGGACCCAAAAAAGTAGGAGCCCATGGCATCGATCCACATGGAACAAAGGAGACATATTCCCCAATATTTATATAGATCGACCTTAATGGGTCTATGCAATTTTTTTCACTTCCTTTACTTTAATATAATAATTTAATTTGCTGTAGGGCCTCATTAAAAGTTGTCAATTCCCCGGGATTCGTCCAAAGATTCCCGAAATTTGGCATAAATTTTTAGATTTGGTTTGGTTTGGTTTATTTAGTTACGGCAAAGTGTACGGGGATGCCTCTCTGAAGGACTTTCTATGGGAAACTGGCTACTATTTAGGTATTACAAACGTAAAGAAAACCCGGGAAACTCCATGGGTCTAGCCATTGGCGAGACGCGAATCCACGACCCAGCAACTACCAGGGCTATGTGGTTTTATCCATTCGACCACTGGTAAACACAAAAATTTTAAATTTTCCAACTTCCGAAGTGAGGCCTGTCCTCCCATCTATACTGGACAAGACGATCAGCTTTAGAATGTACAGTACTGTACATTAAAGCAGACTAAAGAATTGATTATAGCATTTTGATATTGCTTAGAGCAAAAAATGTTAAATTTGAATGTGTTTTTTTACTTCTGGAATGAAAAACTCCCGGAATTAACTCTTCGGGAGTTAGCAAATTTAACCTTCAATACGTATTTTACCACAGGCCCCGTTATCCTCTAGGTGCCCTGGTCATTACTCACTGTTTATAATCTTAATTTTCTATTAATTTCTTATTTCCCATTAAAAAATAATAATATATAATATATATATTATTTAATTTACAATTTAACTAAAAACTTTTAACTAGAATAAAACCCGTGATCTGTAAGTTAGCATTTCAGATCCAGTATTTCACACGGGATCGGGTACAGTTTGATACCATGATCTATTGTTCTATTTATGAATTTCCTTAATTACATTAATCGATTTTAAAAAGAGATAGGAAAAAGAAAACAGTAAATTCTCTCAAGTTTTCTAAAGGTTTATTTTTAGTGGAGCGAACGCAAACCACGTTTGCCTGCTGAGCCGCTGAGCATACTTGTATTTTAATGTAGATTAGTTGTTTGATACAAACAAAAACTATTATAAAAATGCATGGTACACGACCTACTATTCTATCAAATTAATTCAGTATACAACACTATCACTATGCTTTTATTAACATTGTTTCCGTTATTATATAACTAAAGATTTTCGCTAATGATTTGTAAATACATTAACTTACTTAGAGTAAAAAGCGCTTTTTAATTCCAGATGTTTTCTAAGTTGCGAAGTATATTAGCCTATAGTACTGTATATTGTAAATAGGAGCATAAGAATATAATGACTCACTGGCTCTCTATTAACTTAGTTGCTCTCCAACTAAGTAAAAAAGAAAAAAGAAACAGCAATTTTTTAGTAAGCGAAGAAAAACTATTTCTACGGAAGTGAAGAGATGAAATTTATTTTGAAAAAAATTTATTTTCCTACTTCTGTAGAATAATATAATAAGTGTAATTACTTTAGAGCAGTGGTACAGTACGTAAACTTGGCATTCATGCATCCTTTAGAGATGTTTAAAAAATATTTAATTAGAAACAAAAGCCAGCAAAACATTTTTATTTCCTGATATATGCAGTCCCCTAAAAACGAGAACTGCTACACTATTGATTATAAATGTAATATTTAACAATACATTTATAATATATAAGTAAATATGGAATTACCTGCGCGAAAATGAATTTCATTTCGACGTTCTTCCCGTATAAAAAATTTTTAAAAAATTCAAATATTCTTTTCGATTTCTGACAAAAAAAGTGTTCGAAATAAAGTTGCGAAAGTGCGAAAAGAAAATTTTTCGTTTAATAAACATAAATTTAGCCTACATTTTAACCTAAAATAGAACTTTCACGATAAGATAACGGTGTATTATTTACAATTGCTACGAAATAACTGAGCATCCGAGTTAGAAATTTTAAATAAAGTAAAATAAAAACGATGATACATAATTTTCTCACAAAAAAACGGAAAAGAGTACGTTCGACGGAGTACTATACATTTCTTTATAGCTTCCTCCACGCTATACTTCTGTACAAAAATGGCAATTTTAAACATACGACGTGATATTTTGTATAATTTGAATATTATTTTTAAAGTATTGTTTTAATTATTTTATTTTATTCTAGTATTTGTTAAACGTCAGATACATTATTAAGTAGTTTGGCATATACTACCTACTCGTACATAAAATATAAGACGATGTTTCTATGTTAAACACTTAAAATTTTTTATATGTGAGAAAATAACAACTATCTGTGAAAAATTTATCAATAAATCGAATTATATTTGGGCCCACACGTTTCATAACGCCACATCAGAGGATTGTCTATAAATAGAATAAGCGCTTCGCTTGGAGCTGACGAGCTTAAGGCTGCTCTAAACAGAAATAATTTATATTAAATTCCATTTATAAATATTAAGTAAGGCCCCGAATTAATTAGCGCTTAGGGCCTCATATCCGTTAATAAACCACTACGACACAAATCACTATTTTAAATTGTTTAAAGATGTTAAGAATTTATTACAAAATAATCACAGGATATTTCTTTCTCACGTCTCTGTATTCGGTTAAACCGTTTTAAAATCAGATTAAAATTTTCATAATTGACAAATGAAGTATCTGGAAAATCGAAAATTAAGTTAAATAGTTTAGCTAACGGATTAAGAATTTTTATTAACGTCTATTAACTTATGTACTTAGAATTTTTCATTGTTAATATTTCAATAATTGTTAATTCGGCATTGATAAAAGGTGTTGACATCGAATGAATAATGAACGGTACACACTTCTATACGAATCAAATGTTTATGCATACGAAGAATTATAAAATTTATATAAATATTATACTATCAATTATATATTAATAAATAATTAATTATTTTTTACTAATTTATTAATAAAAATATATGTTTTAAACAATTGTGAAGAACATAAACAGTTCCGAAACGCAANTTTTATTTATATTTTAAAATATTTCTAGAACTATTTTTCTAGAATAATTTTTGTATGTAATTATTACATCTTTTTTTTTAATAATAGTTTAACAAATTGTATTTTATCATGCAAATGCGATCGAATTATTATAATTCCTTTGCTGTATTTTTATTTTTATTTTTTTTTTACTTTTACAAGAGATTTTTGCCAATAAATCGGAATTTTATATACAATTTATGTCCGTATGCATCATTAAAACGCCTTCTATTTAACGTATTTTCAAATATTAATCTACAAGAAGGCGCTGAGAAAACTGCCCTCTAGTGACGAAAATACAAAGCTCCGACAGAATACTTAATACGCGTAATACAATGGTAAATCGGTGGCATGAATCGGTTTATCTATAACATTTTACTTTATTTTCCCTTTAAAATAGAATTTTTTTTTTTTTTTTAATTTTTAAAGATTGTCTATAGCATATTTTTGATATAATTAAATTTCGGCCACCAGATGACGCTTACTTTGTTTGACGTGGTTTTATTGCTATAGTCAACGTGACTCTCTTCATTGATGCTAGTTCGGCTCTCGAACTGGGGAAAAATTAACATGGAGAATATTTAAAAACTTTAAAATAAACTTACAATATTCAGACATGATAGACTCACTTAATTTTAAAGAGAAAAAACATTTTTCCCGTTAAATTTTATTAAAAGAAACGGAAAACTCCGTTCACTTTCCCCTCTTTTCATTCAAACACGTGGTGTTTTCTGTAAATTTTAAAGGAGCCATATTTATGAAAAGGTCGTAGATAATGCCAGATATATGTCATAAAAATCGTGACAATAAACTTATTTGTATTCAGCAGCAACGATCGTATCTACGAGATGCGTTATCGCATAGGATACGGAATTATATAGATAAATAACTAATTAACTCTATTACGCACAGCTTAAACGGCTTATAGGATTGATATCTTTATTACATATCATCATCGATAACAAAAATAATAATATATTCGTAACTGCGAACTTTGTATTAATTATTAAACAATTTCTAGTTAATAAAGGATTTTGTTTGGAGAAAAAACGTTGTTGACAATTAGAAAAAATTTTATTGAGATTAAAAAGTTTATATAACGAGCATTGAATCGTTATCATATGAAAAGATATGTCTTATGAAATTTGTTATAACGATGGTGAAGCGTTGATACATAATGGATAACTGAATTATGTGATCCCAAAACACGGAAATGTCATGATCCACCGATGCCAAATTCAAATTAAATAAATTAGTTAGTAGATTATTGTGGTCTGTTATATATTAGATAACTTTCATCATTTATTTAGTTTCTATACTGTAAAATATTTATACTATATGGACTTAGTAATCATGATGCTTCAACCAGCAATATAAGAAAATAATAATTTTTAATGATATTTGGATAATTTGGTAGCAATAACAAGTTTTAAAATATGTATTCTATCTGTGGCCACTATTAAAAAGATTATTTGAAAATTAAAGGTAACTAAGAAGTAATTTAGTGAAATTTTCCGCACAAATAATGATTACAAATTAGCAATTCAAGTTATTTTAATATAATTATCAAGAATCTGAATAAATATTAAAAATATAATCAGAATTTGGACAAACAGAAAATGTATTTTGAATATTTCATTTTATTTCGAAATAAAATGGAATATTTAACTTCATAATGAATTTTTCTTTCTGTAGAAAAATTGTTAAACATTATTATACCACAACAAACCATTTTTTAATACTATAATAATATAAATTACTATGGCTATTATTATATTTCACTTTTTAGAGTGTTATTTACATATTATTTAAATTTTACAAATAAGAAATATTTCAGAAAAGAATAAAGTTTGTACACATGTGCATTCTTTACATTTTCATATATCAATAATTATATATTTAAAAAAGTTTAAATAATATCTATGTATAATAAAAAAAAACTACATATTAATATTTATGATATTATCTTTCTGAGTTTTAAGATGCAAAATTTAAAACTTTAGTTGTACAATATACATTTTAAATATATAAAATGAATAACTTCAATTTTCTACAATTCATATCTCTCTGATTTTAAGATAAATAATATATAAAACAGAAATGAAATAGATTTGAAAATTATGAACATGATAAACATTTGAATAAATCATAGTTATGTTCATAATTTATGTATAATAAAAGATTAAGAGGTACTTACCTTCAGTAATATCAAGATTTGCTCTTTCTACAACGCGTCTACGAATGGGAGAATCTGGCAGGACTGGCACATCTATACCTTAAGAGAAAATACTTTGCTTGTTATTAAATTATTACTTTTATGCATATTATATTAATTTTATATTAATTTATAATTGCTAATATAATTCTCTTAAAGTATATTTTTCTGTAAAAAGTTCTGCTATGCAGTGTAATATAATATCCTTTAATAAGTAATGAAAGAAGAAATTCATTAAATTATTTTTCTTCTTTTATTAATCAAAGTTTTTCAATACAAAATTATAACTCATAAGATATTAAAATAGACCAAATTAATTTCATTAATAATTTCTTAAATACTGTAATAGGTTTTATTTTATAGAAAAGTTTTAATATATTTAATAGGTTATGCAGGGAGAAGAGAAGAGAGAGAGTGAAAAATCCTATAATGTCACTCATCATAGCTATGATTGATTGTGCATTATCGCCAGTCAAAAATATTCAGGACATTTGTCAATTTTTTATGTCTAGTTGATAAAATCAGAGATAATTGGAATTTTATTTCACGTAAAAATATCTTTTGTTGTCAAAAAATAAAAGAAAAATAAATCATGAAAGTTAATTTATTTCATTAAATGTTGTTTTACCATCATTTTCATTTTTTAATTTGTAGTTACGATTAAAATAAATAAAACAAAAAACAAACTTCTAAATGTTTTAATAAAAATTTTAAAATCATATTTTATTCATGTTATAGCATTTATTAATAATTGATTACTCCAGTAAAGGTTTAATGTTGATATTTATACAATAAAAAAAAATAACATGCCTAACAATTTATATGTATTTTGTTGAACTAAGTAAGTTTTTAAGATAATTTATTAATTTTTAAATGGGAGTTTGAAATTAATTCATTTATATTTCAGTTTATTTTTAAATTTATCTTAAAGAAGAAAAAAAATTAATTTTTTATACTGATAAATATTTTTAAGAATAGAGTATAAGTATATATTATAAAAACACAACCATATTAAATTTTCCTTCCAGCTTTATAAACATTAAATTCTCATAATAAAAGTTTGGTTAATAATAAAAAAAAAAAATATTCTTATATATTTTTTAACTTCAGAAACACTTTTAATATCATTATATTAAAAAGTGTCTTATTAATCATTTAATAAGTACAATGTAACAACTAATTTTGAAATTATAATTAGCAAGTTATAGAAAAAAAGGATGTTAAATGACAAAACTTAGAACTGTTTATCTGGCAATTTTCAAACTATCTTTGCAATAATTAACTTGCTAATGGAAATGAATCATTTTTTCTTAAAGTGACTCTATTAAAACATAATTACAAAAACATTAAACCAAAATGTATAATACTTGCTTGCAAGAGAGGGACAATTTTTGTCACTAAGACGTCGCCGGAGTGGACCAGCATTCGAAGGTGTTGGAGGATGTAGGACTTGTGGAAGAGGTGGCACTAACCGAGGGGGTACAGTCATCAGAGGAGTAGACGTTGACATTGTCGTCATGACAACAGACAATGAAGAAGGAGATGTACTGAGGGGAAGTGGTGTTAACTGTGGGGACGGAGGAGCTTTGGAGACTGTAGCCAGATTCTGCAATCATACAAAAATAACATATTATCAGTCTTGAAATATAAAATATCAAATATTTCAATTCTCTTCAGATAATTTTTCAACATTACTTTAAGATAACATAAATTTTTAACATTAAATACAATATAAAAAAATACTTTCCTCAAATAAAATACTTAGAAAACCAGAGCTAAAGCTATTTTTAACATTCATAATCACTTTTTAATATAGGTATGAATTATTTACTGTTTCTGTTTTGGAAGGAGGAGTTGTACTGGAAGAAGATAAAGGTGGTTTCATATGAAGATGTTGCATCATAGCTTGAAGGCGTTCTCTTTCTTTAGCTAACTGTAATTCTAGCTGTGACACAACCTGCATTTGGACTCTTGCCTGGGCAGTACTTCGATCATCTAACTGATGTTCTGTATTTAAATGCCTGCAGGAAATTTTATCATTATACCTATATGATTTTTTTATTTCATAAATAGATTTAATTTATTATTATAATTGCAAATATACAGTATTAAATTTATATTTATCTCATAAAATAATTTATTAGATTCAAATAATTTAATATCATGTACTTTCTTCTCAATGATGAAAACTTTTTACCCTTCATAAACTTCCCAAAAAAATTTAATTATTATTTAATTTAAAACGAAATTATAATTTATATAATTTCATTTTTAAACACACATTTGCAACACCAACTTTTTACACACAATTTAATTTTGGAAAGGCAATTTCTATCCTTACTTTAAGAAACTTTTTACTGATTCAAACAATACTTTTGTTTTCTAGAATTAAATATTAGAAATTCTAATCTTACTAACTAATTTCAAAGCATAGTATATTTGATTACTTACTTCATAAAGGACTGATAATCATCACAAATATTTTCACATCCTGGCCATTTGCAGACACCGTGACCATAAAGGGGATGGGTTGGCGAACTGGAAGCACTACTACTTTCTTCTTTACTCATTAAAACAGAACTGTGAGATGATGACGAAGACACGGGTGATAGGGAATAATTTTCTTGCTGTCCATTGAGAATATGATGCGATGTGCTGGTGCTACTCTGATTACCCATAACAACAGACGCAGATGAATGCATCAAACCATTCAGTCCTGCTTTAATAGCATTTTCATCTATGCTCCCACCTCCATCCTTCCAAATGGTTTGCAAATCACTGGCTGCTAAACCTGTCATGGTTATAGACAAATCTTAATAATACATATAAGTTAAAGTATTTAAGAAAGATAAGTATAAGAACAATAACTATGCAAATTATATTATTAGATGGAAAAAAATCTGACAGTTTACGAAAGATAAGTTATTTTCCTTTCATTTATTATTGCTAAAATACTTCAAAAAAAAGATCTCAAAATTTGCAGTTTAATAACAGTCATTATTGATTGAATGCAAGGATAACAATAGAAGTAAAGAAAATCTAATTATGTGTGGTACATATAGGAAAACTTTCTTCTAAACGGAAAATTCAATTGTGGGATTACAACAAAATCATCACTGTCAAAGAGTGACATCACAACAGTTACAGTTTCCATCTTGTCATACTTATAGGTCAATATAAAAGTTATCAATTATGTAGGATTTCATATGAAAAAAAAAAATGATAATTTTTCTAAATGACAAAGTAATGAAAACTTTTTAATATACTAGGCAATTTATTGTATTAAGAGCATTAGAAAATTTATATACTACTTAGTAACTGACCCTGAGCATTACAAAAAAACTACAAACTAGTAAATATTACAGATGGATCAGCTGTAATTGTTGTATAAGCTAGACTTATAATTCAATTCATCTTTCATGTTACATTCAATGATAAAAATAATTTTCTCTAAATACTATTATAATAAAAATCTATTGACTTTTTTTAATTTAATAGACATATAGGATATTCAATATACTGACCCTGAGGTAAGACAAAGGGCTGAAGACCTAATAAATATTGACGATGACTCAACTGCAATTGTTGCATTAGTTGATGTTGTTGTAAAGCAAGCTGCTGCAATTGCATCTGAAGTTGCTGCCTGTTATTCTTTGCTTTATCATTGACGGAAACGTTACTTGTATTATTCAACTGTTGAAGGATTTGACTTTGCTGCACCATATTTAATTGAAGCTGTTCTTGAAGATGGGGAATTACTGATTCTAACTGCTTTAATTGTTGATGTTGTTGTTGCTGCTGCTGATAAATAGAAGAGTTTCAGATTACAGAAAGCAAAGAATGTTTAAATTACTGATGGATTTAAAAAAAAAAAACTTTTAAACAGTTAAGAAGAATAAAATCTTTAAAATTTAAAGTTATCATACATTATATAAATGTTTAAATTCAATTAAATTTCTTTTCAGTATCTTATCGTTAAAATTATTTATCTTTTAAATTTAATATATTTATATTATCTTCTAAAACAAATAGAAAATTAACCGAAAAAACAAATAACAAAACAAAACACTTTTGACAAGTCATCAATTCTGTTAACACAAAGACAATATTCTGATGGAATATTCAGAGCCTGAAGCTATACTTTTACTTCCATCATCAGTTTTATGTACAAATGATTGCAGCATTAAACATCAAAAGCTTCTTAAGTATCTTTTGGAACAATCACCTAGAAATTCCAGGAAGTAGAAAAGCGGAAGTAGTACCTGCTGCTGTTGTAAAAATATAGATTGTTGTTGCTGCAAAAGTTGCTGGAGTTGGGCTGGTGAAGGAAGAGGCTGTTGCAGGAGCTGCTGAGCTAGCAGTTGCGAGTTCATCATCAATAACGACGGTACAGTAGCTGCACTGTCGCTGGCTGACCTGGACCTCTTGGTTCCTTGGGTGGGGGAAACCTGCCGAGTTAAAAATTAAGAGTTAAAAAACGAAGGTTAGTTGGATTGGAAAGCGACGCGCGCAACTTACCTGGGACGAGAGAAACCCGCACGTCCTAAGAATTGCACCCACGGTCGCTAACTAACTCCCATTCCGAGTCAATCGCCCGGGACCGAGTTTAGAATCAATGAACATTTTTTTCTATCTCTTTTCTCCCCTTAGCAGTTCACACGGTCGAAAAGCCTGCACCACTCAACGGCACACATCTTTTGTTTACATTGATGCTGAGTAACAAACTCCGCATTCGGATGGGAACGTGGTCGTCATGGCAACTAATGGAGTGGCCAATCAAGTTTGTATTTATTCTTACATAATACACAATCACGGAACCCCCTGTTATGGATTATGCAAGCACAGAGCTAAGCAGGCACCACGTCCCTCAATATTTACTCTCGTCAAAGCAAACCGAAAGTCGAGCCGGGAAACAAACACGCTGCCTCTCAACTTACAGTCTCTAGTTACACCGCAATTCAGTAGTCGTGCAAGACAAACAGTCCTGCTTGATGCTGTCCAGCAACTAAGTCAACTAGATCTGAGTGCACGCTGAAGGCTAAATAAAACTGTTTTAGAAATATTCTCACCTTTTATCCCGTCGCGTACCAGCCTTCTGCTACGGGTAATTGTCCATTAAAGCCGAAATGTTCTACACTAATTTGTATAAATATAGTATTAATGAGGCCGTGGTGCCCCCGACGGGGCTCGTTCCCATCGACTTTAAATGTTTTACCGGAAAGACGACCGGCGAGGGGCGAAGTGCAGATGAGTCAGTCGAGCGGATAAAGGAACGGAACGGGGGAATGGAAAAGACGGAAGACACTTCAGTTCACGCACAGCGACGCAGAAAAGAGTATTCGAAGATTCTGTCAATATACGTTTGCCACATGGCTCAAACCCCATGTCAACAGACTGCTGCACCTTTAGCATGCAAGGCCCGCAGGCCGACGGCTCGGAATTCAACGTAAGCAAACAACTCGTTTTCCGCTCAAATTCCATCTGCTGCTGACGTCAGGGAAGAGTAAAATCCCTCGAGGAAAAGACAGAATCGTAGACCGACACTTAAGATTTATCGTGTGGTTCTCGGCCTAACCCTCCAGCCACTCCTCTCCTTCAGTGCTCCCGTAATTAGCCAGATGCCAAAGTGGACACTGCCGAGGGGGAAATCAGGGCTTCCTTGTTCCGGCACCACTCATTATGTCACTGTGGCCCTTGGGTGTCTGCTAACCGGTTCGCCTACCTCCCACGTGTGCTATCAACCGTTTTGGCCACTCGCTCATTTGTCCCGAGTCGAAGTGGATGACTCCCATCTGACCTCTCCATCTGGATCTGGTCGCTTGGAATTCGTACACTCCACCGACCAAATTCTCCAGCCTTAAAAAGCAGGCGTAAGGTAGGCCTAGACGTCTCGTCCGACCTTTCCGTCACACCTTCCTTGATTAATTTTTGCAACGGAAATAGCAATTCATACATCAATAGAGTCTAACCAATCAAAAAGGCAGAGAGAAGCCTCATTTGGAAATAATGAAATCGAGTAGCAACGCTTCTAAACATTATCGGCAGACATCAGAGTCGGGCCACTTCAACGAATGTCATATTTTCATTACGCTTAATTACCTATTGATTAATTGACCTAGCCGTGCGGATGATTAAAAAGCGTCGCGAATTACACATTCAGGTCGCACGTCACATCCCGCCAACGGGTTGGAATTAAAGAAAGTCGATCGTTTCTTTCCCGCATTATTGTTCAATGAAGTCGAACAATGACGTTCCCGATGACCTCTTAATATTTCCTGTCCAAATTCGTATTTAAAGCGTTTCCTCTAACCTTTCGACCGACGATCAAATTCTTGAGATTTTCCCTCGGTCTTCCTTTTTACAACTGATCAAATGCTTTAAGAATTTAAACGTCAGCAATGGTCTACTTGACACAAACGATCTATCTATTCATCTGCCTTCAATCTATCTATAAACCTCGCATATTTTCGATCGTGCGAACCCATTAACTAGCATAAAGTCTCTCCAAACTTCCGCGCGCTACATTAAAACAAGTAATAAAAAAGACTTTGCATCCAACAAGATTAAACTCTTCTAACCAGTTTATATAAATCTCACCTGCGCTCCTTCACAAACTTCGTCAACTTTAACCTGTCTTCAAGCATTCCTGATTAATTGTAATCAAATCTTTATTAATTCTGATTTTGCCACTTCTAAATAGCATAGTACAACGCAAAGTTTTGCGTTTACTGTAAGAAAGTACCAGGAATCGATAGTAAAAAGTCTTTACTAACTTCTAAACCATTCATTTCTTATACAAAAAAGTTGTTGGAAGCTTCTAATTTATGAATAAACTTGTAACTAATACGGGCCTAACTGTTACAACGAAGTGTTTGATACAACTTGTGTTCGGACAAGTTTTCGAACTCAATTTCAATTCATTAATGCTTACAGGAGCATTTTAATCCTCACTCAAAAGACGCTATGGATGTTCAATCATCGAAAACAAAACATAACATCGAGCGGAACAATTTTTCAAGTAATTTATCTGCAGATAGTCAACGTTATAAACTGACATAGTAATTAATATTATCGAAATACAGAAGTAACAATTGCAATTGTGGATGTATCTCTTTTTTTTCCTTCCTTCCTTCCTCCGAAAACAATCTGGAATTTTAAATGCAAACGAACAATCAAAGACAAGTTGAATCGGAAACGATCTTAGAAAAATGTTCCAATTAGTGCGACGATTAGTCAACATTGCAAAACGAAGCTATTATTTTCTAATTACCGAACTAAACTTTGAATGATTACAGAGATTGGACATCAAAATGGCGTCTTTCTTTTATCGCTCGTTTCCAATCGGCTCCTTGTTAAAACTATTCCTACTAATTGTCGACATCTGAATAAATATCCGATGTTTCGAGAATCACTTTTTTCCCCCCTTTTTTTCCTTCTTTTTCCCTAACAGAAAAGATTTTTTTACAAAATAAAAAAAAATGTATATAAATTTCCTCCAGACCAAGACAAATTTATAACTGATAACCGTGTATCGGCTTTTTGATACGGTTCCAAGCACGAAGTAACTTTACTTTTTTTTCTACAAATATGGCGTCTCTGTACAGATTAACAAAGTAAAATTAAAAAGTTATTTAATGTTATTTTCACAGTTAAATTTGTTTATATTACAACAGCTTATCGAGTGGCCTTGATTGAAGACTTTTAAAACAAGCGTCAATGATATTGATAAGGAATGGGTTGTGCAAAGTTGCATTATCTACGTAATTGCTAGCTAATTGGAAGGCTGAAATGGATGTAAAAATCTATGGGAAATATGCCAAAGAAGATTTAATAGATGGTGAATTGCTTCGAATTTCGTCGGAGGCTATCAATAGCCAAGCTTACTGTCATTCAAATTAGAATGAGAGGGGACATAAAGGTATGATGAGATACTTGACATAACTTACCTTTGCAAGCTGTCAAAATGCTCCAAAACATTCTGACAACAGAATCTTCAAAAGACTTCCTTTGAAAAATCGAAAACCTTAGCTTGGAAAGAAGTATTGGATATGAGTTTATTAATAGAAACAGTTCTTTTTAGTGACCTACAGAAAGTCAACTTCGGTAGAATGATAGTTGGGCTTATTACTGACACAATTTTCTCTATAGAAAAACGAAAATTTCTCTTTATAAAAAGAAGAAGAGAAAGTATACAACGGACAATTTGGATTTAACGAAAAAAAAACCCAGGAAAAAAAATATCGAAATATAATAATATAATTTCAAAAATAAGATAGAAAAAAAATTCGCGCATATATTTATCGCTACTAGAACCAATAAGCGGAGCTGACTCTCGAACATTTCAGCATGATAATATCGAATTCGAGAGTCAAAACACTTGGGTTTTACTCGCAAAATATTCTCCTCCTCAACCGAATATCACGAAATCTCTACCTAAACCCAATCGAAAATCTTGAGGGAATTTCAATTCGACACATCTACTGAGAATTCTACAATGTTTTCGTCTGGAACAAGTATTTTATAAAAGCTTAGGATGGGAAGAAAAAAATATATATAAAATAAAATATATTCCCGTTCAAAAGCTTCAAAAACTTGGTAGAATAATGCCTGGGAGGATAGGCGATGTTCTTTATCCAGCGTAGTTTCCATTAGTAAATAGCTTTGAACTCTTAATATTGACATATGATTCCATAATTTATGAAGTCTTTAAAACTTGATTACAGTTATTCACTAAGTTTCGGATTTGTTTTCATTTGTAATAGCACTCGAATGCTAAAAATAAGCTTTAAAGATTTTTTCTTGGCTTGCTTACTTAAAAAAAGAGGAGGCGAAGAAGAAGAAGAAGAACAAGCTACTCCGCTCCATATATTTCGAACGGACAGAACAATATTCGTCTCTCCGGAGGTTTGAACATCATTAATAAAAATCCTCCAAAATGCTACCATAACAGTGGAAAACCTTACCAAATTTACAGAGAATGCCAATCTTATTTAGCCTTAAATAAATAAACAGCATTTGTGACCACAAAAACACCAGATTATTGATTCCGAGAATTTACGATCGCCGAGCATTCTGTAGAATTTTCGAGGAATTAGTATTAAAATTAGAACAAAAATGTATATTGTATATGCGCGAAAATCGATACTTACGAAGGATAAAAGGTGAGAAAGTTGTTTAGTAAATATTTCCGCTTAATTAAAACGACGTTTTATGCTAATTTTTTTTATCTGTAAAGACGAGAAGAAGATACGATTCGCGCAAGAAAATCGGAGTGACTTCGCTCGAGAAAACTGCTTCTAGCTACTGAACCACGCGATATATTTAAACCAAAATCGGCAGGTGGATTGAATATGACATATTTAATCAGCATACCAATTTTGGTGAAGATCGGTCCGATCGATCACGAGTTATCGAGTGAAACGTCAAGAGTTCTGGCGGGACGTGAGGTAGGAAAAAAAAATAAATAAATTTTTCTGTTATATACAAACAAGAAAAACCTACTTTTGAGTATTCCGAGTAGATGATCTTCTTCTGTCATTTATGGAAACGGGGAAAAAAAAGGGTAGTAAAGAGCGAATTGACAGCTACCGGCCCGAACAGGACAAAGTGCTCCTAGGGGTGCGTCTAAGTTAGTGAACGGAATCATAAACGGGCTCCCGAGTGTGGCCACGTCGCTATGGTAACCGGGGATAAACGGAGTTTGTTCCCAGAAGGGCAAACTAAATAAGTAAATGACAGCATGTCACAAGATTGTCTCCCGCTCTAACTATTGATTACGTAAAGCGGAATTCGAATATCAACTTTTCTGACTGGACCGTTCAGGCGCGGGTAGGTAAGATTAAAAAAAAAACAAAAAACGTGTAAAAAAAGGGGGGAAAAATACTCACATGTTGTTCGGCTTCTTCGCCCGCTGAGTTGCCATTGGGTGTTGTTGGGGTTCTTGGTGTTTGATTGGTAGATAAGTTGATAGCGACTTCACCTTCATGGTCCATCATACCATTTTTCTAAATTGAAAAAAGAAAAAGAAAAAAAAACGATCGCTTTACTAAATGCCAAATTCCGTCTTTCTTGTTTTTAATAAATTAAACTTCTGCTTTACTGATGTAATTGAAACATTGATTATTCTAAATTATGAAAATTTAAATTTTTAAACGGACCAATTGAAATGTGTCTGCAGTTTCGTTTTCCTCTCACCAGATGTCGCGTCTTGCTCTGATTCAAAGTTTACTTTTTATGTTAGATTAGAGGGGGCGAGAACGAAGAAAAAAAAGGGGGGGAAAAAGAAAAAAAAACGATTCGAATCTAGTTCTTGGCGTCGACAATGAAATAAAACAAAAATTAAGTGTTGTTAAGTTCGTCTAAGGTTTGGAAAAGGGAGAGAAACGCTTCGGTAGAGGCAATTAAGTTAAATAATTCCGAAAAAATCACACAGCTGTTGCGGGTTCTTGTTGATTAGATTTTCTGCACCTCCTTTACTCGGTAGGGTTTTATAATCCGGTAAGATTTTTTGGTTGCCCGAGGGACTTTTTGCATTTTCGTCATTATCTCGCCTGTTTATCTGGACCCGGTGGAAATTTGTCACAGGAAAGAAACGACTATAACACGCTACAAAAAAGTACAGCGGTGTTTACACAACGACAAAACGTCTTGTGTTAAATTTCGATGTTTTTACACATTAAGGGAACTGCTTCTTGTTTGTAGAGCCAGTTCTCTTGTTTGGTGTAGAGAAACGCTGGAGCGAAGAAGGGGAAAAAAATTTTCAGAGGTTTTTTTTTTTTCTTCTTTTCTTTCCTGTTCTCGAATCTCCGCTATGCGCAGTCTTCAGACTCAACACAATCCTGTTGGAGTGACTTGGGTAATTATTTAACTGCTTCTGAACGTCCCCGTACAGCGTTCGGTGGCGGGATTTTGGTCAAAGCAGATAATCGATCGTTGCTGACAATTAGGCTTGCATTCCTGCAATTAATAAATGAACTTGGGCTTCATTCAACGAAACAGTCTAGCGAAACCACTACAAACATTCGGGAATTCTTCGAACCCCCATTTTCCCCTGCACCCCTGGTTCTCCCCCTCTCTTTTTTTTTTTCAGAGGTAATTTTCTAAGAAATGGATAATAATAATTTATTTTTATTTATGAAATTCCTTTTTTCTCTTTTTAATTAATATACTAAAGCGGATAAAGATGGATCGATAACTTATGTGGAAATATGCAATATTTTTTTTTTTATCTTTGAATTCTTTATTAATATGTTCGCGTTACTTTTTTTTCATAAGTTTTTGAATTATTTTTTGGGATTGTTATAAACGGAAATTTGTGCTTTATCGCTTATAGTTCGGTTGTAAATTAATTTTCAGAATTAGAGAAGTGTCCATGCTTCTTCGCCGAACTTACCTCCGTGTAATAGGTTTAATCTTCTTTTCTACCGAAAAATCTGTTATTTTAACGTAATAAAACCTCGAAATTCGTATGTAAAATTGAAATTACATTTCGTCTTTTACGTTGTTGTTACAATATTTATCGAAAATTTGATAAAATCATTCGGAAACTATCGTTTAAATCGAATTAACGTCCTCATTTTAAACTGTTTAAAGCGAACTTTTCAGACATTAATTTATAATTATTAATTTTTAAAGCCGTAATTTTAATTATAATTTGAAAGATATCCGACTGATACGTTTGCTAAATATTAAATTATTGAATTTTATTAAGAATCGTACTGGTAATCTAGCTTACTCCATGCAAATTTTTACACTGACGGAGGCCTGAGTCGATAAAGAGCAGAAAATTAGCTGATATAAAACAGGAACCTCAACGTTTTTGCTTGAAAAAAACCAACAAAAGAGCAGCTAAAAACGTACAAACGTGTAAATTAAATAAACCAACAGACAGACGGACCTACAGCGATTTTCGGAGTTCGATAAGTTTGTTATAAGCGTGCTACACTAATTGATAATCGATTATCTTACTTTATCGATAGTTCAAAATAAATCTTATATGATTAAACATCGATAAAGAATTCTTTTTTATATTATTATTATTATTAATAAGCTTACAAATTCTACTTCGACCTCAGAAAGTATTTGATAAGTAAGGCTCCTAACGTCTGGAAGTTCGTCGATTCTTACTTAAATGGAAAAAAAGTATATTCATTAATGCATAGGCAAACAGAGACTAGGATGATTTAATGATATTTACGCAGGAAAGAGAACAAAAATAGCCAACTGGATTGCACTACATCAAGTTGGATAATGATTAAGTCGAATGAATCAATTAAACCATCTTGACACGTGATCGATATCTGCATGTTTACAAAAGAAGATATATGGTTACAATTACAAATTTAATCGAAGTTACACAAAGTTACAAAGAGGACAAGCATCACGAAAGTGTAATTGTTGTTGGGAAACTTCCCAGAATCAGAAGGTTCCAATTCCAAGGACCGTGTCAGCTTGTCACGCACTTAGCCTCCCCTATCTGTCACCTGGTCGGCAGTGACATGCACCTTGACCACTTCACCTGTCAATACGGAGTCATAAATCGAATGATCATCGCTTGTCGAGTACACATTGGTTTTCGATAGAGACCACATTTCGGGGAAGGGCGCTGTGGGTGTGGACAGTTGGTTTTATGTGAGGGAAATAGAGCTCATTAGCTGCTAGGATGTCCTGGAGGGGTACTTAGCAAGGACGCCACGATCAATGACTGGCGAGTGTTCGATCGCCGATCGACTTCGCCACCCGACAAACTGATATTTGCCACTTTAAAACCGTCCCGCTTTTGACTTTTGTTTCGTTTGACCATTAAGCAACGTTAATGAATCTATTCGGTTGTATCCTACCTCATTTGGAGTTTAAATATTCATAAAACGATTTAATTGTCACTGTCTAATTAGCTAATTAAATAGCAATCAGCAAAGTCGACCCTCTTTTTTTATTTTTCTTTTTTCTTTTTAGACGAAAGTCGATCATGTGCATCTCCGTTTCCCGCAAAAATAAAAATCTGTAAGAGCAGATCCGAACCCGAGATAAAACGATTTTCTCCTAATATTATCCACATAATTGAGATAAGTCGTATTACAACGTATCCCCCACGCGCTACAAAGAGTATCGTGTCTTCGCGACTTTGATGATTTAAAAGGTATCGTCACCCGTTATCCCCTCCAGGCCTATACAACTATATCTAAATTTAGCACAAACGTCATCGGCGACTTAATTAAATCGATACATTCCGATCGGATCCTAAGGTCTATATAATTGATCGAACGTGGCTCAAATCTCGATGTAAACTGCAAGACGGATCGAAGCGTTTTCGCGTGTTAATGACGTTAATGCGAGGTTTTCTTTTAAAAGAAAATCATTTTTAAAAAATAATGCCGCATTCTAGGGTAATTTCCCTACCATTTAAACCGTCGGTAAATTAATAAATAATGCTTTTCGGTAATTTGTTCGACAATATCCATCTTCAATTATAACAATGTCTTAGAAACATTTTTCTCTTGGGCACGGTTGGGCGTGTAAGAAAGGCTATTACTGATAAAGCCAAGAGAGAATTAAAGATTCCCGAAAATCAAGATAAGACACATTTTTGCATTCTCAAGGGTGGTTGTATCGATCAAGCGATGCAAACATCGTTATGCACTAAATAAGCTTCTTTTCGAACTATCTTCGATTCTTGAATTCTATTAAAGAGCCAATTTCGGTGTTATTTTCGGACCGATCCCTTTCGGTGTTTATATTGAAATTTTAAAAATCCAATTTCCGCCACCAATCGAAATTCGCTTAATCTGAAAACGTGTCGTCTTTCGCCTTGATAATTAAAGGCGAAAAAAAATAAAGAAAAGAAACTTTAATACTTCACTACTCTCCAATTGTTTTAATCCTATTTTCAAAATTCCGATTGATGCTTCGTGTTTTAAATAAATAACCCAAACTACTAATTGAGTAGATTTAAATAAGGGCTAAAAAAAAACTCAATAATCAAAAAATCTGAGCGGAAAATTTTCCCCAACACCTCTAATTTCGTGCGTAACTTAATCTCTGCTGCTGCTGCTTTTAATCATTCTTGGGACGGTCTCAAACACTTTAAAATACTAATTTGATGGGATTTTAACTTCTTTACGCTCCACGTTTCGGCGATATTATTGAAATTTTAATATGTATTATAAATTTAATTTATATATTTTCTTTCTTTTTTTAAATTTACCAAAAGCTAAACTAATTTACAAATGATTTCCCTGGGTTTATCTAAGAAAATCTGTGAAATAATAAGGCAATTTGGTGAGCACCTTTAATTTTTAGAAGCATTTTTAAGGTCTTATCATCCCCTTTACAGGTAATTGTTTTGGTCTTCGTTATAATGCTGCGTGCGATCTAACAGATTTCTATGTCTTAAAGGTTCGAATCTGTATGCTTTAAACTGCTTTATTGTTTTTAATCTACGCTACTCGTTAATAAAAAACTTAATTGAAGCTATTTTATTGCCTTATTTATTAATAATAAGATATTTGTATGCTTTATGATGTATGTAAAAATCTGTATGCTTTGAATATTTTTTTCTTTATAGATAAAACACTTATTTAAAGACTTAAAAGCTTCTCTTTATGCCCCGAAAGCCTGATTTTTAATACATTGTCATCAATATAAAGAAGTAAATACTTTAAGGTTAACATGCCGACAAACGAACAATCGCATTTAAAATATTCTCTTGCAGAAAAAGAAAATTCTTTTCTATCGTACAACTTATGAACCGTAACCATAATCATTAATTTAAAGCCTGTTTTAACCTTAAAAGCCTTCTCTTTCTGTCACAAAAGTCTAATTTTTACCGCGCATTTTCATCATTTCTGATTAAAATTTGCAAGCCTTAAAAGCCTGATTTTTTTAAAATAAATTGCCATCGATGTAAAGAAATAAATACTTTTAAGATTAACATGCCGACAAACAAACGATCGCATTTAAAATATATTGTGCAACAGAAAAAAAAAAGAAAAATTCTTTTCTATCG